GGAGAAATTGAGCACTACAGTAATGAAGAGGAGATGGAAATTTATTGGGCACACCTTAAGGGAGGAACCCACAAGCATCTGTAACACAGCATTGACATGGGCACCAGAAGGGAAAAGGAAACGGGGTAGACCCAAAACAACTTGGCGACGCACTGTAGAAAAGGAAAGCAACAAGGCTGGATGGAAGTCATGGGCGGAAGCCAGAGTTGCAGCAGCTGATAGGACAGAATGGAGACGTTCGGTGGAGGCCCTATGTGCCACTAGGCATCTGGAGGATAGATGAGATGAGATGAGATGACGACTCCACGCTAAACGCAGCGTGAAAATGGCAATTTAAACTTTCCGGACAGCTTTACATAATACTACAGTTCGATAACATGGCCAGTCACATAAAATCCATCAAAAGGGAGCTGCAAGTCGTATAATGTCAAAACAGTACCATGATTTCACAACTTTCGAAATACGTTCGCTTTTATCGATGTCCACTGTTCAACAGTTTAATGTCTTCCGGCTCACAAGAACACAACGCCTAAACTATCAGAAATTCCTAACACATAATTCGAGTGATGGTATAACAAAATAACTCATCATTTATAAATTCAATCCATCGAAAAAGTATAAAGAACATTTTTATAAACAACTTTTAATTATATAAATACACTTTGAAAAGAAACAAGATTTATAAACATAAATCTATTTAAATACGTTCTCACTACAAATTACACAATACCTATTTTCTAACGGAGTTTCTTCACAGCACAAACTATTGGAATCATGCACACATGTGAGTACTTCAGTGACACATTTTATAGCTACGTTCAAAATAGTCCATCATTTATTACGTAACTGTGACCACATGACATCATTCTGTTAACATCCACACATTTTCATAAAATCTCCATGCACTTTTTGATCTTTCATAAGTACAATACACTACAATTTACTCCAGAAAAACAATTTTCTTGGTACATTCCTACAGTCTTGCATACTAATGAGGGATTCAGACACATTCCAAGCTGAACAATTTTCTCGGACTAACAACAAAGCTGGTTAATCCTTTCCCAGCAATAATGAGAGAATAATTTTACGGTATTATGCCCCTGAAAACAACTGACTTTGCTAAATACCACCTCAGTGAAAATAGTATGACCCGTCGCCTTGAAACCTGACACCAAGGTTGAAAGTTCACTCAGTTTAACAGTTAACTGTTTTGCAATGTACGTTTACGACACAATATGACACCCGTTGTAAACCTTGTCATTAAAGCTGATTGTTTGCATTCAATTTATTTTATTCTGTACCAATGTGAGATTACCAAACGTTATAAGGTATGATGAAAACTTTTTTTCGATAACCAATTTATCAACAATTCCAATAACCCTGACTCATTATGTGTGCAAACATTAACTATTTTGTTATTGTGGACTTGTGAACAATAAACAGCTGATCTTATATACAGTCAAAGACAGCAGTTACAATGGCTGAGGACAGACGTTTTATGATAAACACCTCATTACACTAACTATATATAGAATTTGTATAGGTCAGTTGTATCGGTCAGTGATCTAATTTATATTCTATTTCAATTCAATGAAGGCTTGCCTACTAGTTTTGAGATCTATGTCTGGTCGACAACAAAAAGCCACAGATTGTCATTCCATACTATCAGTCGTCATCACGCTTTTACACACCTTGCGAAGTACAAAGATACATGCCCTGATCGTTGTCGGTGTTTGGTCATGTATGTCAAAGGTGTCCAATTATGTGTTTAACTCTAGAGGGCGATAACTGATTTGCATTAGGATATCAATGTGAGGGCGTTGTTTCATCTATCCTGTCATGCCTGTATTAATATGCGAGCAACTGCTAATTTTTCAAAACCTGGAAAATAACTGCGTTAGTTTCGTGTACTGAGTGATTGCTGAGATTGTGTTATTTTTGAATCGATGGAATATGCAAAAATATTATATGTAGGACTTCGTTTCACAGAAACTGGTGGAATATAAATAAATAAATAAATAAATAAATAAATAAATAAATAAATAAATAAATAAATAAATAAATAAATAAATAAATAAATAAATAAATAAATAAATAAATAAATAAAGGTTCATCTGCAGCAGAACATTTATTATCGTTATTGATTTAATCAGTTCACATATTATAATTTAATCATTTTTAAATTATATTTTTGTCACTGGCAAATACAACTATTTAGAATGGTCGTAATTACAATTGACAAATAGTAAGAATGTCAAGTCTTGCATATAAATTTATTTTGGCAAATTGATTAGACACAAGTTTTTTTATAATAATCACGTGACAATCGACATTGGTATTTGAAAATCACAAGACACAATACTATATTATAACTCATATCTTCTGCATTGATATAACATGGCACTGCATGAGCTTTTGAAAAATATTAATCAACAAATCTCTTATTTGAATTTGAAAGGGAGAAACATACATACTATGAAATCTATCATTTCAAATATGTCTTCTCAGCTGCTTAGAAACTCATTCTGGTTATATGGATACTGAATATCACGGGATAACAATCAATGCAGTGAAATGAAATGATATTTCAATAATATTACTTACATGTATATTACATTTAATGCGCTATATCGATTTGCATATGGCCGTTATTAGACCTTAGTGCGTTAAATTCAAACTGCCACAATGGCATAAGTTCATTGATAGGAAACAATTCTGAAAGATTAATGCTCATGCACACGAGCACTGCAGTCACACAATGACTTGTGTCGCATATTCAGTTTAACAATGGGAGCATGATATCTTTTGCCATCACAAATATCAACCAGAACAGTTGACCAACTTTATACATTGTTCTGTTGTGTGACAATCCATGCTTTGTAACGAAGACAATTATTACCCCATGTATATGTATATATAGCCTGCATAGAAATGTATATTGGTTAGGATTGGGCCACAGACTAGATTAGTTCGGATGAACTACCTCTGTGGTCCACACCAAGAAATTATTATTATTATTATTATTATTATTATTATTATTATTATTATTATTATTATTATATTAATTATTATTATTATTATTATTATTATTATTATTATTATTATTATTATTATTATTATTATTATTATTATTTTTATAAGATTACTAGAATTGTTATTATTATTGGTGAAATAAATCATAAATAAATAAACAAAACAACTTGAAAAATGTCATTTCTCGATAAGAGCAAATGTTGCGCGTTCACCCATACTACGACTGGAACCTTCATGGTTTGTTTGTAGAATATTGAGCGACAAAACGTAATGTCTGGAAATGCTTGATTTAAGTTGCAGAACTTTCGTCTTATAGAATCATATTCATAATGGAGTACATTTTTACATGAACATAACAACTTTGACGTTTTGGCCGAAAGTTTTTAACAAGTGCGAATAATGAACTTTAGCCATGATTAAATTAAAGACGAATACATTTCGACATGACTGCACTTGAGAGAAAGTGTGTATTTTTACGTAATTCATACTTCAAGTATTAAAGTACGGCATATTGATTGACAATATTTGATAGTTAGTTTAAACTACCTATTTGTAAATGCAATATTGATTTTAATGTTGAAGTAATATTCCCGAAATTTTCCCATATTCACTTTATATAATTTTGGCAGTTCGTGCTCACAGTGAGACTGTGATTTTAAACGAATACGCATATTTTTAGTAACACCAGAAATAACAACGGTCGTGGTTTAATGAGTATTTTAGTCTTCATTTCTTCCAAATGATGATGTCTTCTTCAACTACATCAAGCAATATATCACCACCTTTTACGTAACAACACTCATTCTTCAAATATCTCAAACACTCCTCAACTTCTCCTGGTGGGCGTGATTTACGAAAATTTACAACGTGGTTTATGAAATCCAACATTAAACTACCATCCACTGAATCGCCGTCAAAACACTTTGTAACATTAACCACAGTGGTGTCACGTGTCACGTCGATGTTTGCAGCAGGGATATAGAGATTTATAAGATGTTTGATCTCTTCTGTTAATATAAAATACGGGGACAGACGCAGGTTCTTCCTATTTTTGTAATACGTTACCATTCCTCCGTCTATGTGGAATAATTACGAATGGATGAGTGATTATCAATTTGTAATTACAATGTAATGATATAATTATTAGTGCTTCTTTTTTTGGCAATTAACAACGATGCTCTACATTTAACATCACAAGTCTAACGTCCAGTTTACTTTTGTCATGATTATAAAGTATGTGTCACACGCAACGTAATATTACCGTAATTGGTATACTACAGGTGTGATGGTTCAAATACCAAAATGGCAACAGTAACAGAAGACTTCCCTGGCGGCGATGATAAAACACGCACACGGAGCCAACATTTGAGGTTTCAACTGGTACTGGTATTATTATACTCTGCAAACATCAAGTACAATAACGCGGTAAAACTCCACTACTCCATGACTAGATACTTAAACTCCAATACAATTCAACGAGATCTCCGATCTGATCTCAGTGCTGAACAACTCCCCTATATATACCCACACTGTCTATAAATAGACCATTACATCAGCATACATAATGAGTCTGGAACTTACTACAAATTTCTAGAATGTTCCATTACCTTGTATTGCCTCCTACAGTGTTCTATTACCTATTCAATCAGTTTCTAAAAATTCCACCCAGACACAGTACGGTTTTAGAACATTCTCAGTCACACGGAAGTGGTAAACAAGTCGTATGCGACAGTATGCTAATATATAGGTCGATATTAAACAAAATACAGGTGTATTTTCTTTTGCGCAATAACAAAATAATGCTCAATATGACAACACATCTTTTTTACCAATTCAATGCTGCAGTAAACACAAACATAAGATTTGGAATAATACTAACCTGTCACTATCCCTAAGAGAAGCACACCATCGAGACAAACCATGTCGTACAAACAACACAATGTGTTTCCAGCATCACGAACATAATATTAGGAATGACAGGCATGTATGACGTCATATTTATCAGAGGTAACACCTCCTTCAAAATACTCATTTATCTCCTGTACATGGAAACTAAATTTTACTCCACTCCACCCATCTTGATTGGATTCAATTAAGCTTTTAAATTCATCTAATGGACCAGCTGCAGGGAATTGACAAACAGTACACTGGTTTAAAAAATAATGCAACACATGAATGGTAATTGTCATAATATTATTAAAAAAATAAAATAAAACATAATGCATATCACTTACACACTAGCGGTTACGTATTTGTTAAATCTAGCGCCTTATATGATTATATTCAAAACCATTTGATTTGAAATATTATCTGCTACATGTGAATCAAGTTGTGTTCACGCTTTTCAAAACGACTATATATAATGCGGGTACATATATTTATTTTACAGAGATGACTATGTCGTGTAGTTTACATTTTAGTTGTTTGTTCTTGTAGGATTGTTTGTCAATTATTGTCAGTCGTCTGTGTTATGTTCTCAGACGTCTTGATTCAACAGATCTTCAGTTCACTACGATTCAGGGGCAATAATTTATTAGCAGTTAAGCCATCATCCGAATCGCACGGTTTCGCACGCAAAAACACTACCTCACGCACATATCTTATCAACATGGCCAGTAAAGCATGCCCCAACCAGAGATGGGATAGCATTTGACAATTGAACATAAATAAATGTAGCATTGTGTTACATACTATCACTGATATGCAGCAGTATGTAAAATTATTGTTTTGAATCTTATTCACAGCTGACATCCCAGAGACTCAGCGTAAATACAGTTGATACTGAACGTGCGACATTTGGAATTCTATGTTCATATTATTGTGAGCATAAGAACTTTCAATCTCTGCTGTGTTTCATTAACGTATGTATATGATATGATATGATATGATATGCTAAATTATTTAGATGTTCAGATCTCATCGTGGCTATTTTGTCAGTGGTACAGATGTAACGATAAGCGAATGATTGGCCAATACGTTAAAGGAATTATATATCGTTTTGCGAAAGATGACGTATAATCCGTCGCATCTGTTCTTCTGTTATAAAACTTATGTGCAGGCGTAGTTGTTCCCTTTTTGCATAGTATTTTACCAATCCTCCATCTACATTGAACAACGAGAATAATTTTACAATTTCGTATGGGTAAAAGTAAAAGTAAAACAGTGTGTAGATTAAGTTAAAAAAATTATTTATTTCACAAAAATTCTATTTAGTCAATATTACGCTTCTAACGCGAAAGAACATAACAGTACACTGAACATCACTAAAATTACTTTCGATTTTCACAAAATAACCAATATACTGGTCAGCACAATGAAATTTGCTAATAAAACATTAGTAACCAATAAAGACAGCACTTAATACAGGAAGGCACATAGAGAAGTTTCCAGAAACAGTTGATGCACTAACACCATGTTAAGCATAATATATATTATATCAGCTTACTGCACGTATAATTATTTACTGTGAAATACTTTATTATCGCGTGGAATTAATTTTCGCTATTTTCGCTGAAGGAATGATTCAGTGAAAATAAAATCCAGCGAATATACCTTTTTTCCTATATTTTACATTCAACTTGTCAAAAATCAGCGAAAATAAATTCTATACAAAACACCTGAAAAGTCCTTTCAGTTAAAATTAATTGCAGCTAAAATAAAGTATTTACAGTAATTTAATTTATACTCATACAGTAGCCATTTTCAATCAGCAACATCATCATCTTTACATTCTGAATTGCGTGCACAAACATTCAAAATAGTCAATAGAACTGAGTACATACAACCAAAATAAAAAATGAAAATTGAGTCAAATCGGCAGTTTAAGCTCACTTTCATTATTATAGAAATAGTTAGATTAATTAGTAAAAGAATAAATTGTTGAATGAGTAAAATTATACTAGACGAACCTGCCTCCAGCCTAATAAGAAGAACACCATCTGGTCGTATCATGTCATACAAACAACGTAATCCATGTTCAGTGTCATGGAAATAATAAAAGGAATGACAGGCAAGTATGACGTCGTATTTATCACATGTACCACCTTCTTCAATATACTCATTTATTCCTTGCGTGCGAAAATCGAATTTCACTCCATTCCACTTATCTTTGTGGCACTCAATTAGGCTCTTAAATTCATCTATTTGATCAGTTGCTGGTTCTACCACGGTGTAATGTATTGCAGTATATTTGTCCACCAAGGCATTAATGAAGTGCAGATCAACATCACCTGCAGGTATGAATATATTACGTTATCCAATCAAAATATTACTTAACAAAAATAAAACAAACCAAAACATGATAATCATTGTAAGAAATATTTCTCACCAATTTTTAGTTTTGTTGATTTACTTTATTAATATAATTATATATTAAGTATCTGCAAGATGCCACTTGTTTGCTCTTTGCGGTCTTGATATAAGCAAACAAATCTATCAGAGCCAATCTTTGTATTAAAGTTATCTGATACATTGCATGAGTGTGGAAACATACCACTGCCAGCTCCAATAGAAAGAATACATATTTTGTTGGATGATGAAAGCTGTAACTGCTCTATCAGTTTCCGTGCATCGTCCTTGTAGCGAAACTCTCTTGATTTCAAACCGTGGTCCATCATACTTTTAAATGCCTGGTGATATTTTTGTGGATATTTAGTTAAATCACGTGATGTATCTGCCATTGTACTTAAGGAGTTGGTGTAATTTATTCCGGTCTTTGAAAATCTATAAATAAAAACATATCAATGGTGACTGTCATAATATTATTCAGAAGAAGAAAAAACACATTGTGAAAATGTAAATTACACGTCACTTGGGGATTGTATGTCATGTATGATTATATTTGAAACATTTTGACAGGAATATGTATTTAATGTATTATTGAATAAATAAATGTTTGTAATTATTGTATTTTTTTGCCCACTCCACATGACAATTTGATGCTGTACATGGCATTCTCAATTTTAGTGAAAAGCGCCATCATCAGTCTGTTTGGTTACACAGTTAGGCCGCAGTAAATCCTGATTACCTTGGCAGTGTGGAACGTTCCAAAACTTGGCGAGCGTTCGCGTTTTCGACCACGCGTTGTTTTATAAAGATACGGGATTTACCATTTCTGTTCAAAACGTTTACGATCTAAATTGTATGCAAGCATTATTTATGACAATCATAGGAAAGGGTCGAGCACCAAATAGCGTTGCCTTCATTGTACAATAGAATCAAATTGTTTTCTATTCTTGAAAATTATTGTTGAAATACAAAGATAAATAATGTTTCATTGACATATTTGAAACATTACATTGGGTTTGGGTTCAGTGAGGGATGCAATGATTTTCATGGTCATTAATATTTCACCAATCAGCGTTAAGGTCAAAATTAAGGATCCCGGACCGTTGTTTGATCGCCAGGGTCTCCGGGGGATAAATGGGGACTTTGAACCTCGGGTTGATCTGTAATTCTCTGACATGTTCCGAATACTCTGAAGTCTGAAGAGCAAACACGTCTTTTGCATTTCAGGCCATTTTGACAATTGCGATTCGACGGATAGTTGGTGCACAATATTAAAAATATCGCCGCACTAGTATTTTCTTAATTAAATAAAAACATTATTTTGAATGTTGTAGTAACTATAATTTTTAATACATGAAATGCACAACATTTTATTGAATTCACAAAACGTGACAAGAGCGGAGAACAGAGATGTTGAAGAGGACAATGTTGTTTAAGGAAAAGAAAAACCTGAGACCAAAACAATGTGCTGATGTAAATAAAAAAAATATAAAAAAAACTGAAAGAAACACTTTGGTTTTTGTGTTTAATATCTAGCATGCGTTTGATTGATTCCCATATACCTCGGCTATCCGACCAACCGACCCAATTTTTCAATTTTCCGACTTGAGGGAAACATAAGTTTTTTTTTGGTTTTGTTGTATGAAAAATTTAGCCTGACAAGTTGGCATACCCGTCTGTTTGCCATCACGAACAGACAATTGTTAACCGCTATACTGCGAAACGCGGTTAACAATATTTCACAGCAGTCCAGAGCGCCCCCTACGTCAACTTGTCAGGCTATGAAAAATTAACCTTAAGGAGAAGTTGAGCTATTGAAGGAGAATAAATCTACAGTTTGCTGAATCCGTGTGTATCACATACAACATAAAAGGGAATACTTATTAACCCCTATTTTAATTACATATTCTCCAAAACAATCTTAACAACTTTGGCACACATATTACCATATGATTCACGAGACCTAGTCGTATGACCATTGTTACAATTCTGGGGCAATGGTCAACGACAAAATATAAGTTTATATAATTTTGAAATATAACAGAGAGCTATTGTCTTTAAACTTAGCACAAATACTTAGTTAGGTTTTAGTGTCAAAGATCAACTTCACATTTCATATGTATATTTATTCACAATACAGTTCCGACCCTTTTAAAGTTACACGTAACACGTATGTTAAACACAAGACCATTTCTATTCCCAGATCAAAAGGTAAACAGGATAAAAGGTCACAGTATATGTGTATGTTCACATTATATAACTACAAGGAAAAGAGAGGAATTGTCTTTAAAACGTGGTACACATGTTTCTTATGGGTTTCAATTCTCACATTTTCAGGTCAAAAGTTAAAAGTAACAGTATGTAAATAATTACACTACAACATATGATGACAAACATGTTAACTCAGATACCCACAATTTATCTTTTATGGTGCTATGTATGCCTGAACGATTAACATTACCATAAATCATGTGTCAGCATATACATAACAATTGAATCTACATAGCAGGACAAGCTGAAAGAACCACTGACCTACATAGCAAGTCAAGCTGAAAGAACCACTGACCCCTCTAGTTACTTATAGTACATCTCGAATACCTCAGCATATGTTACTGGTCAAATGTGGGCGTTTGCGCCGAGTGCTGGGGATTCTTTTCACCTACTACCTATATATATTACTTTCCAAATCAACTACATATATCAACTGTCCCACTGTCAATCAAACACTCGGTTTTTCCAATAGGGAATGTGACATATACTTGCGCTAGTTTTAAAGTAATATTACCTTACTTTGAGCAAACCACTTTTGATAATCTCAGTACAGACACTGCTCCACTCTCCAGGTTGGACAGCGTGCGTAGCTTATATAAATACCTCTCGACAACCTATTGACTTTGAATGTACATGTATTCAAATTACATTGTATAGAATAAGGATTTGACCATTATTTTGCGGGGTGGGCAAATTAAGTGGCCGCAAAGCTTTTAATTTTGTACTACAAACATGAACCCCCATTTTTTTTCGGTTTTTTGTACAATTTGGACTGTAATTTGCCCATTGAATGTACAGTTGTGAAATAAACCGGTTTTGTGACTCACCATACTACTTGTAACTGTGGATATAGTCTAGTAGGAAATAGGGGTCCCCATGCACCCCAATGATATATTTTTTTAACTTATATTTTTTGAATCCTCAGGATGTCTAGTACATGAATTTTGATGTTCCCATTGCCAAATTGTGTCCCATGACGTCACTAGGTGGCCATTTTGAAGGCCATCTTGGATTTTTACAGAAAACAATAATCGGTTCAACTATTGAACTAGTCATCCTACAGAAACAAACAATTTAATTTGGACATGGGGAATTCAATGAGAAAATTATTTGTATGATTTAAAATATAAATAAAACCATTTAAACCTGCAATAACTATTTGAAACTGTGTATAATTTTCAATTAAAGTCCGCATCGAAACATATATTCAACCTGACCAGTAACAATGATAAAGATGTCATTTAAGTATATGCATATCCGATTCACACATTTCACTGTCACGCAATCTAACGCGATGCCAGGCTGTAAGATGATGATTTTGTGCGTCCAAAGTTCGGTGAGCTTTTGTTGAAATAGGCCATGTTTGTGTTTTCAGTACATTAGTTTTCCAATTTTGGCGTAATAAACCATTCCATTTATGTAAAGTGGTATAATTTGGCATTGTCAACCAAAGCGATCATAGCCTCTTTCATTGGGTCAACAAAACTGAATAGTCACCTCTATTGCAGTAACCATGTGTATATCCAATTTGTTTCTGTAATACAGAGGATATTTTTTTAGGATTCACACTACCTATTAATCCACAGGCACACAACAAGTCTGGTGCTGGTTGTGATAAAATCAGGTAATATATATAGATGGGATTGTATAACCAAATTAGTAACATTTATACCAAATTGCATGGTATTTCAAAGCAATATTTTTTTTCTGTCTTCAGAGTTTGGTGTGGTGTAAAACATATAGTAATCGGTGGTGGTGCTTGTGAACTAAACAATCTTGGCTAGTATAGAACAATAGTGTAGTGGTAGACAAACATGCCTGAATCAAGTATGCATAAGAGAGTAGTGGTAGTGTGTCTAAAGATGTACACAAGCGTCCTCATGTAAGATGCATTTTGCATTTCATCATGGATATTTCACACCATTTAGTAAAATCAAAGGATCTGCAACAGACAAGCTAGCTCAGCTGCATGATATTCGTGACAAACGACTTTGTGAATCCAGAGATTCAAGAAATAGAATGGATGATATATGCAGTAACATTCCAAAAAGTCTTGTTGGTGTTAATTTAGACCAAATTGGCTATCGCAGAGGCGGCTACCAAAACTTCACTAAAAACAAAGACCATCTGAAGAGTTCTAATATGCCATCTAATGAGGCGTCAACATCACGTTCTCCCCGAAATGTATCTCCAGAATGTATCTTTTGTGGAAAGCAGAAAGTTAAAGTATCAGGAAAAACTGAGCGGTGTAGTAAATTTCCTGTATTTAAGGACAATAGTGGAACCCTCTATGAACCAACCTGGAAACAGATAGAGTCTAGAGCACAACTAGAAGTGGGGAATATCCGTCTCCATCGGATGGTGCAAGGTGATGACTTGTTCGCACGAGGCAAATTCCCACCAGTCATGTCGCAAGTCATTCAATTTGAAGTATGTTAATCACATGCGTGATAAATCCCAATCCTATGTGTACAACGCAGAGCAAGGTCGCATCGCTGATGCTCATCTCAAGTCTTTCAATACTGTACTTGATTTCATCAAGGACTGTGTAATAGGACAAACGGAGGTTGTGCAGCTAACATCACTGCGTCTTCTTTACATACAAGAGTTGGAAAGACATGGGTTTGCTAATCCAGCTTACAGGAGTGAGAAGCTAAAGGCTTGTCTTGAGAACCATGACATTCATAAATCAATCGCCTTTGCAAAGGTCAATCCAGACAAAGGCTGTATCACCTATAACCTGGTGTACAGTACGAACATGTCTGTTGCAGATGCAGTGACATATGCATATAACCTTGGATCAAAAGACAAGTACCATGAAGTGGCCGAGCTTCTTCGTACTAAAATCAATCCTACAGCAGATGATCTTGAGTTGCACTCACCAGACGCACTTCTTCTCGCTGAGTTAGTCAAGTTTCTTAATATCATGATCTCTGGTGATGCTGACATGGGTATATGTGAGAAGACTAGACGTATAGTGCTTTCAATTGGCCAGGTATGTAATATTAAGTCTGACACGTCTTAGTAATAATGTTCTCCATAATTTTAAAATAGTTTTGTGTCAATCCAGTTTCTCTTATTTTTGTTTTCTTTTTGAAGGATATCTGTCGAGCTGTAACAAAAGGAGAGTGGAAGTTATCAAAACACATCCTTCTGGGCACCATCATACGACGCATGTACCACAGTAGACAGCTCACTACTATTCTCAACAGACTAGGTCACTGTGAGACATATGACTTCAGCTTGGAACTTGAGACTGCACTAACTCATGCTATTGATGAGGTTTCCACTTCGCTCACTCCAAAAATAATCACTGGTGAAGGGAATGATATGTTTCATCTTGAGTGGAACAACATGAACAAAATAACAACAAACATGCATGGCCCTAATGTCGTAAACAGTGCTGGTGGAATCATGATACAGGAGGTGAAACCAGGATTAGATGTAACCAGCCAAGATCGAATACTTCCTCTACTTCAATGAAGCAAGATACGCTCACTGAACGTTGACACTCCTGAAATACTGGTACCAATCTACATCTATAGTCGAGTGAGACCGAAATTTCCTGATGGAGCTGTGTTTACTCAACACATGGTAAATAAAAAAAAGTGTACTTGAAGTGTATTCAAGAGTATCAAACCTGGTTATTTGCACGGGTGGTTGGAAGCAGTGGAGAAAAACAACTCATTCCAGGATTTGGTGGTTTTATATCAGCAACTGGTGTCAAGCCTTCCAAAAAGTCAACCATCGATTACTTCACCCCAATTAATCAACCCTTCACCGAGTACTCTGTCATTAAGGAACTGCTAAAGAGGTCTGAGGAGGCTACCATGGAGGTGGAACAGGAGTATGTCTTCAACACATTCGACCTTGGAGGTTGCATGAAGGCACTACCACTAATTTGGAAGTTTCCAGATGAATACAAGAAACACATTGTCACAATAGGGCCGTTCCACACTGGGATGAATTACATGGGCATGGTAACTGGTCGCAAGTGTAGAGGCTCAGGATACTCTGAAATACTAATTGAGGCTGAACTCATCACAAGTGGCTGCCTAGTTAGTGTGTTGAAAGGGAAGGCATACGCTAAAGCTCTCTTTTGTCTGAAAACTATCAGTGAAGTCATGGAATGATTGTTGAGTGAGAAATTCCTGCAGCTCTACTCAATATTGTCCAGTCATGTAGTCATGAGACCCCCAACCTTGCTTTGCAGGACCCCTTCCACTTACACCGTTTTTGAAAAGTATGTTGCCTATGAAGACAAAGTACGTACAGACCACCTTGGCAAGATAGCAATCTTTTGGCTTAGTGTGATAGACCATGCACGTCTTATTCTAATGCTGCAGTATTCTGTGAAAACTAACAACTTGGCTCTCTCTGGTAGGGGAGGATGAAAATGAGGATGAAAAGCTTACAAAAAAAATCAAAAGTGGATCTTTCCAGTAGGGAAAATCCTGTTCCACATGTTGCATGTGTAAATTATCGGCTTGCCATCTTCAAGTGAGCTGACAAGTCTTTCTACTGGTCCCCCAAACCATATGATCCAGGACAGGACTGGGCGAATAATGAGAAAGGTATCTTGAAGCCATTGTGGTCATGTGGTCCGATCCTCCCTTCTTCTCTAATTGACTTGCTGGA